TATATATATATATATATATATATGTGTGTGTGTGGTGTGAAACGTGCTTAGTAAATGTATTGAGACGCGTTCAGTTTGAGACGTATTCTTACGTCTCAAACTGTTGGCTCTTTCTCTCACTCTCTCTCTCTTTTCTAGTTTTACATGCTTATGTTCGAGAAGTAGCAAAACTCACGAACGCGTCTTTACCGTGATAGGGTAGCTCTCGCGCGTGCTGAATACGACGCGACGACGGCGACTTATTCTTCCGGTTCCTTTGTCATTCACGTACGAATTTTCGCGCGCGCCCGTGCCCGCGCTCTTCGGCTCGCAAGCACCCAATTTCATGTAAATGTCCCGGGTACGCATAGTGGTTACACGAATCAGATTCCACACGACGACGTGGAATTATGTGCATGGATGTCCAGTTTAACGAGAAGATGGGCGACAAGAGCACCGACGAGGACGTACAGATCATTGAGGCATTCATCAACAAAGGTAAGTTTGAGGTTAGGTAGACAGGTAGCGATGGTAGCGACAACGATTGTTGAATTCTACAAGTTTAAGGAACTTAAACTTTAGTAAGTTTAGTAGTGGCGACAGTGGCACCACCAACGGTGACCATAATGGCGGCGGTAACGGCGAAAGATCGTGTGCATATCTTTATCTTCTTTTCTTCCCTTCTTTTCTCGGTCACTCTTCGCGTGTGGCGTAGTGCGATCTCACCGTTCTCGTTCTTCGTGCCGCATACAGTTGCGATGCCCTTCTACTCTCGTTAACGTTGGTATCTATCCAAAGAGTTGTGACCACGTCTTCTGTGAGACGCGCTTTTCACGTGTACCGGCGAAACGTGATAGTACCGGTGAATCCATGAGCGTCTGTGTTGTAAGAATATTGGTGTCGGTATTAGAAAATTATAAATATTAACGAGGTTGTCAATGACAGGTTGTCTACTTAAACCAGCGACAGACATTTTCTTGCTTTATTGCTTGCGTTCTGATAAATTGTTAGAATTGCACGCAACGTTAATTTCTAATAATTGTACAATAATCATTTTTAGTAGTTTATTAAAATGCATAGTAATTAAGCAAGAAAACATATATTGTATGCCATTGGCCTTTATAAATGAAACATCTTTGATTCGTGCGTCAAATCTCTTATGTTGATTCTACAATGAGTCGAAAGTTTTAGTCTTAATCGGTGAAGTTGGCCAATCAGCCTTAATCGTACAAGTTGGCTATTGGTCAACTTCACCGATAAGACTTAGGATTACCGATCGCTCATTGTAGAATCAGCGTTACTAAAATTTGCAGTTCCTAGTACATTCACTCGCGCTGTGTTATTTTGGCATGCGCCAAACACACACGAACATATTGGCATAAGCACGCACAAACACATGTGATCTGTTTTCTGTTCCTGCACTAGACTGTAGAACTCTCCTTCTTACTTTAAACAAGTATCAAACGAATGTCTATCTCACTTTAAGTTCCAAAAGTGTATATTAGTTCAGCCACAGAAAACAGAAATGTAATCGTACGTGTATGCGCATATGTATATTTTTTAGTATAAGATTATTGTAGAAAAATTACCAAAAGGAGGGCTTTTATAAAAAGTACGATCTGATTATTTGATGCATTAAAATTTGATTACTGCTTTTGTAGGACATATCGAATCTATTTTTTATTCCCGTATCAGATTGCACTACTTTCTCGCTTTCGCCAAATATCGAACGTATATGATACGTTTTGAGTTTCGCACTATATGTATATGAGGAGCGCATGATGCATCATCTGTCCTTGTTGATTATCAAATAATAAAAAAGGGATAAAATGATACCATCGCTTTATGCGTAAACACGTCCCTACTTTATTTTAAGTTCAAAATTACATTGTAGACATATAAAATAGACTTCTATTGTCAACATGGACCGAAGTCTCTTCTCTTTTATGGTCTACAATGAGAGTAATATTGTGTAATAAACCATAAAATGTTACAATTGATCAATTATGGCTGATTATTCTCATATTCGAGCGTGATTGGTCGATTTCTTACGGATTATTACAATTTTACTTCCATTGTAGACGGTCCATACAAATTTATACGTATTAGGCCCGAAATATATATATATATATATATATATTAAGTATAGTGAGCTTTAATTCCTAAAATATTGATCAATCATAATTGAATGAGGAAAATCAAGAGAATAATCGACTAATATTAGTCAATTTCTTATCTTAAATTTAAGGCTTACTATACCTATTGTATTTCGAGATTTTGCTCTGTTCTTAGACTTCAATGTAAAAGTTAATTTCATTCAACTTGCTATTTATTCTTTTCTAATTCTTACATTTAGAAAAAAATAAGGAATAAATTAAACCGATGTTAAAATTAATCTTACATTAGCTGAACCGCTTATCTATGATCTTATCTATGTCTTAGAGCTATTTTATGGATATCTACTTGAAATTATTGGGAGAAGTTTTTTATTGTTCGAATGATTTATTAAAAATCACTAATGATTTAAACTTATTCTAAACGCGCGCGCGCCCACACACACACACACACACACACACACACACACACACAGAGAGAGAGAGAGAGAGAGAGAGAGAGAGAGAGAGAGAGAGAGAGAGAGAGAGTTACGCATAGATAATCGATAAAAATGGATTGGTCAGTGTCCAGGTGTCCAAAAATTCTATATAACAAGTTGAAAAGGTGCGATAGAGCTTCATTTTTATGTCGAATAATAGCTCACATTGTTTTGCGTTTTCTTTTATTAATTGATAATTAATTGATTGGATTTCTTAAATTATTTCGAGCTATAGGTAGGTATTTAATTGCGTTCAGAAATAGATCGGTATTCCGAAATATCGATTTACGAAATGCCATTTCTAGATTCCTTACGTGTTTCAGTATTAATAATATCCGCACTGATAAATGCATTGACGATTATGCGAGAGATCAGCTGGTCGTCATTTTCATTCAGGCGATACGTGAAGGACGACATGTAACTCCAATTCTCTATTGATATCATTAATATTGATTTTGCTTGAGTCTATCTGTATTGATATTGTTTTTCATGTTTATTCGTATTATGATAAACCTGTTTGCTTCATTAATGCACAATATGATACTATTTAAATATTCGAGTCAGACTTATCATTAAGTATTATAGTTTACTTAAAAAAAAAAAACGATTCTTTTTCAATTTATGTTAAATTTCAACTTAATATCCAAGGATTTTTCTAGATACAACTTTTTTTCAATGTCATTTCCATTGTCAGTTATCATCTTTCCGTCTTTCAATTAAGATTCCGATTTTTTTTTACCAAATCTCCAACTTTCCAGCACATAAAAAATCTCGATCTAATCACTTAAAATTTTAATGACCCTTTTTCAAGTTCCCTTTTCCTCTTGTTTTTCTTATAAAAAGTACCTCTGGTAGGTAGAGACCCTATAACTGAGTCTGACCACGAGACAAACTTTTGATTGGCTCGTCGTTTTTGTCAATTTCAATAAGTTAGAATGAGATAGCATATCTAAAAAAAACTATCTTTTTTATTCTTGTTTTGACAAAATTGCTCGAGGCTAAACTGTTATAAAATCTTCAGTTACATTTGATGACCTTTTTTTGTTAGTGAATATTATGCTGCAATGAAGTTTCAGTTTCGGTAATTTCGATATACTTGATAGGAAAATCGTCGATCCGTAATCGAATATTAACCGAAAGATAGCAACTGTGTAGTCACTTTCCATACAATATCTTGCAGCATTAGTTGTTTGCGTTACTGGCATTTTTTGTACTAAACATCTTTGCTTTCTCTCGTCAACATTCGAATATACAGGGTGTTTGGAATTCAAATGTCAAAATTTCGGGAGCGTGTAGGGGATCGATATAAAACTAAAAAAAAGTCCCGTAGAGACGCTCGTTTTTGCTTTGTTTGGAGAAAATTGCAAAAAAGACAAAACATAGTTGCTTCGTTCTCGCACTGCCTCTGAAATATTATCGTCGCTGAAATCGTACACGAAAACAATAATAATTCCGTTTTTAAGTGAAAACTTTTTTTGTTTGTTTACATTTCTGCTTTTCAAATCGTGTAAATTCGTCAGTTACTCGTCAGAAATCATCGAGTGAATTCTGCTATCACAATATGCCGCATACATATTCTAACGTCGAATATGCTGAATATGGTATATTCGTGTATAGCTTCTGCGACAAAAGGGCAACATTTTGAATAATGTGTACATTAAACAAGTGAATAAATGCAATGTGAATAAATAAGGGGAAAATGCAAAAACGAAAACGTACATTTTGTCTTTGCGATTTTCTCCAAAACGAAGCAAAAACGAGCATCTCTACAGAACTTTTCGCCTTAGTTTATCGATCCTCTCTATGCTCTCGAAGTTTTGATATTTAAATTCCAAACATCCTGTATATTTATCTTCTCCTAAGTGCAAACATTTTTGGGGATTTAAGCAACAGACCTATTGTTGCAACATTTATAATGTTACTGCTGTATATATAATAATGCTAGAATGATCTGTGCTATGTTTTACAAGACTTGTTATTTTTTATTATTTAAATAATATATTATGATATTATTTAATATATATTTTTCTATACAT